AGGGAGAAGCAGGCCTCCTGCGGAGCAGGGAGCCCAATGCGAGTCTTGATCCCAGGACCCTAGGATCACAAACTGAGCTGAAGGCAGACACCTAACGACTGAGCCACCCAGGTGCCCCTAAACTGAAATTATTAACATCTCAAGATGATGCTGAGACCATATTTATTCATTTCCTTCATATTAACATCAAAAGCAAGCAAATGTATAAAGGTTTTTCTATGTCATTTGTTCTGACAATGCATCTCACAATGGTTTTTGTGGTTTGGTAAAGAAATAGATGCAGAAATATATTTGTGAAATAAAAAAAACCCCTAAGTTGTGCTTTATGAAAAGACTATTAAGGCATGGTTATCTCTGAGCACCCAAATTATGGATTATTATGGATTATTTCCATTTTCTTCTTACCTCCTTTCCATATTTTATAATAATCCTGAATACCTTATAATAATCCTGAATTACCTTTGCAATCAGAAAAAGGGTTTCTTTTTTTAAAAAAAATTGTTACATGAGGGTGCCTGGGTGGCTCAGTTGGTTAAGCGACTGCCTTCGGCTCGGGTCATGATCCTGGAGTCCCGGGATCGAGTCCCACGTCAGGCTCCCTGCTCAGCAGGGAGTCTGCTTCACCCTCTGACCTTCCCCCTCTCATGTGCTCTCTCTCTCATTCTCGCTCTCTCAAATGAATAAATTCTTTAAAAAAAAAAAATTGTTACATGAAAGTTATGTGTCTATAAATGTAGCATAGTAAACCTGATCTATTTCAATCTGCTTGCACTTTCTATATGACATCCAGTAGTTCTCTTTCCCTCAGTGGCTGAAGTTTGCAGACTTTATTTACAAGCTGGGATCCAATGATTTGTATTGTGGTCACATTGGTCCCCATCTCTCTCCAAAATGACAAAGCAAGGTCCATTGAGCACAACGTGACAAGCAATGTTTTAAATGTCATTACTAAAACAACTATGCAGGCTTTTCATCAGACTTCTACAGAACCACAAAGAAAGGTCAAAGCAGAGAGAAGCTGACTGTTAGAAAAACTCCAGCCTCTTACACCTCTCATAGCCACAGTCACATGGTATGAAGCAAATATTTTTAGGTTACACGGAGAAAATTTGAAACTGCAACTTTGGTGTGCAATGGGATATGCAAAGAGAGAGAGAGAAGAGGGTTTCTTCATGATGATTAAAGTTTTCATGCAAAGGGTTTGAGATCCTTGGATGAAAGTTGTTAAGTAAATACTGCATGACATGCACATTGTACAACAGCGTGTCATAATTATAGTTTGCTTTCAACCATCTGAAGCCTTTCTGTGTTTTCTGGTTTTAGCTTCTAAGCCTTATGAATTATTTCTGACTCATCAGCCTTTCACCCTAGGGGCAACTCACAAGCTCCATAAAAATATGGATATTTTTCTTAAATCTCTTTTCTGGCAAATGCATTTGTTTTTAGCCTCAGAATGTAAATTCCCACAATGAAAAGTGACTAAATAATACTTCTCTCCCTCTCTTATATCTTCCTTTCTCTAAAAATGTCCATTTATAATTAAAAGCACATATCTGAAGATCAGTTCTGCAATACAGTTGGGGACCTGAAGCTGAGGAGACAGTTGGGAGCAGGATGGTATAAAAGCTACTACTAGGTCAGAGTGCCCAACCTCTGGTCAGCCCAACTGACACTTTGGGCTGGATAATTCTTTATTGTGAAAGGCTGCCCTGTGCATTGTAGGATGTTCAACAATATCCCTGGCCTCTACACAATAGATGCCAGTAGGGCAGAGCTCCAACTCCCCAGACGTGGTCACCCAAAAGTATCTCCAAGATATTACCAAATATCTCCCAGCAGACAAAATCAGTCCCAATTGAGAACCACTGCACTGGGCCAAAAACCCTACAAAACCAAACCCTTTGTGCTTTTTCCAATTCAAAGTGCTCCTTTGACCTCAGAGTCAACCTCTACCTACCTAGCTACCTACCAACATAAAATACAGACACTCACAAACACCTTCACACTTTTCATGTTAAAGCCCTTGAACATTGTCTAGAGTTTTTCCTCTGAGCCATATGTGACTAATTTGGCTAGGAGAAGAGAAGCACTGGTAACTTTCCCAGCCTTCACTGACATGGGTGTTCATGCTTTTAATGTTCATGGTGTTTTTAAGTGACATGGGTGTTCATGTCACTTTTAATGTTCATGGTGTCTTGACTACTGAAGCTGTAAATGTCTGCAGTTTGTTTGTTTTTTTAATCTGCTAGTCACACTGCAACCCCATGCTCCCCCATGAATATTGTTTCAACCATAATTTTATTTAATTAAGTATGTTTATTTTGCCTTGTAATTCTCTCATTTGGTCCTTAAATATGCAATTATGATCTAGGCTCAATATATTTATTTCCTGAAATTATCCTAGATTAGAACGGGTTAATTAAAACTGAAGAAGGGATTTATAGAATTAAAAAAAGCACTTCCTAATTCATTCCATAACAAAGCAACACATAGTACTCATATAAACTGTATTTTTATGCCTCTTAGTATATTCAAGGGATGTTTATTCTCCCTACTGCAAGTTATCTGATGCTTGAAGCACCAAGGAAAATGGACAGAGGGAGTGATTTCCTCTATGGAAGAAACATTATTAATAAATTCTTCTCTATGGAAAACTCTTGACAAGTGGATTTACCATTACTAGATTCATAATCGTGAGTAAGCATCTTAGTCTCTGCTGGCCTGCTTCATTTTTAGTAAAATGAGAATGATGATACCTACCCTCTAGGGCATGTTGAATGAGATCATCTATTTTAAGCTTTTAAAGATTTATTTATTTATTTATGCATTTATGTATTTATTTATTTATTTGACAGAAAGACACAGCGAGAGAGGGAACACAAGCAGGGGGAGTGGGAGAGGGAGAAGCAGCTTCCCGCGGAGCAGGGAGCCCGATGCGGGGCTCGATCCCAGGACCCTGGGACCATGACCCAAGCCAAAGGCAGACGCTTAATGACTGAGCCACCCAGGCGCCCCTGTTTTAAGCTTTTAGCCCTGTGCCTGACATACAGGTGTTTTATTAATGTCATTTCTGTGCTACTTCCCTCCTTTGTTCCTAGCACCAGCTAAATAATTTGTGAGATTCAGTGCAAAATAAAAAATGAGTGCTCCCTTGCTCAAAAATTAAGAATTTCAAGATGACCACAGCAGAACATTAAACCAAGTGAGGGGCCCTTCTAAGAGAGGGGCTCTCTCTGTTACTGCATCAGCTGTACACTCATAAAGCCAGCCTTGCTTGCTCCCCTAGGGTTTTCAAGTTCCGTTTGTCTATTCTTTTAAATTAAAAGCCCCTCTTCAATTTGACAATTGACAGGGAAATAAATGTAACCAACCAAATAGGGCTTGACTGTGTGTGTTGTTTTTCAACACTTGCTCACTTTTACTCAAGCTGTTGAATGTTAGTGAGCCTCAAGCTGTTATAAAGGAGCTATTTTAATCTGCCATGGCATTTCAGGGGTTTGTATCATTCTCAACATGGAGGAATTAAAAAAAAAATACCTTAGTTGTCTATAAGAAATTGGACCCTTGATGATAGCCCAAGAGGCACTTAGTGTCCAAAGAGCCACTTAATTGAAAAGCCCTTTATCCAGAGTTATCAAATAGCATTCACAAAGAAAGCAGCATAGCTCTAAATATTTTAGATCCTGGCCTGGAGACTTTTAGAGACCTGGTCCAGATGCCTAAGAGTAAAATACCCAAAGAGGAAGACTTGGTCTCCAAACTGTGCCCCAGTTCTGCAGGTTATTCCTTCTTTAAGGATGCATCAGCATGTCCTTTAAAGGGTTCGTCAAGGTTTTCACATCCTACTTGTAAGAACAGATTCCTGTAAAAAGGCAAAATATGTGTGTGACTGTGTACAAACATAGATACACAGAGAAATGTCCGAATTTCCTCTATTGGAACAAACACACACACACACACACACACACACACAGGCACACAAGCATCTTTTTTTTTTTTTTAGATTTTATTTATTTATTTCTTTGCGAGAGAGAATGAGAGACAGAGAGCACGAGAGGGAGGAGGGTCAGAGGGAGAAGCAGACTCCCCGCCGAGCAGGGAGCCCAATGCGGGACTCTATCCAGGGACTCCAGGATCATGACCTGAGCCGAAGGCAGTCACCCAACCGACTGAGCCACCCAGGCGCCCGGCACACAAGCATCTTAACAGAAGGCAAAGAGAATTAACATTTACTGAGCACCTTCTATGTGCCAGGTGTTTTACATAAATGGGAATACTAAAGTATATGTTAGTTCTCATTCTTTCATTCAATCTCAAGACACTGAAAACAAGTGCCCCCCCTCGACCCCGTGTCGAAACTGAAGCTCAGAGCAGTTATGCAACCTGCCCAAAGTCATACAGTCAGCAAGTTGGAGGGTCTGGACTGGAAATTTCATCTGATTCCAAAACGCATATATCACATCCCTCTTGACCTTAGATGATTAAGAATTCAGGGGTCTAATCTGTCACAGTGTCTGAATCAAATAACAAACGAAATGCAACAAATTTTAACATACTTGCTAATCATATTAGTTTACATGGCCGCCTTACTCTTACCATAATTCCCACTCTTTCTCCCACCCTCCATCACCATAAATCGTTCAGTGTCTAAGGGTTACTAATTTCGCTAACAGTTATCGGGAGAACAGGCTGGCCTCTTTGTAAAGATAAAAAGTTAAAATTTGTGGTATGGGACTAACTCCAAAGATCTAAAAAAAAAAAAAAAGAAATTAAAAAAAGCTGTTAGGGGGTCCAGTCCCTCACTTCCGGCCTTGACAGGGCAAGAAGGAACCCCAGCACGTGAGACTAGAGCATGCCTAGCACGCGCGCCCCTCCGGGCAACTGCCTGGTCGGCCCGGACTGCGCAGGCGTGAAGGCCGAAGCGGCTGGGGGCGGTCGGCTCGCGGTTACCCTGGAGACCGGGCGGAAGCGGCCGGAAGCTGCGCTGCGGTTGGCCGCGGCGGAATGGAGCAGCTGGGGGTGGAGCCCGCGGAGGAAGCTGGCGGTGACGAGGAAGAGGACGCGGTTCAGGCCATGGAGCGGGTGGAGGCGGGGGAGACCGGCGGCTCGCCCGGCGCGCCCGGGCCTGAGGAGCCCGGCGGCCTCACTTGGTGTAAATGAGAAGGGCGGGGCGGGCGGAGGCCAGGGGCGGTGGCCGCCATCGGGGTGCGACCGTCCCCGCCTCGCTCTGTTCTTTCGTTTTCCCGGCTTGGTAGAGAGAGCTGGCCTCCGCTACCGGCTGTTTTATGGCCAAGATCCCGAAAGGGTTGGCTTCGCTTGAATAGGACGAGGGTGGGCGTGTCAGTTATGATAGTCGAGGGTGCATTTGTGATCCCCCAAACTGTCCGGTGAAGGCGGAAGAGGCGCCCGGGCGGTGTAAGGTTGCAGAAGTAGAGAACCTTGCCCATTTGGCAGAGTTTGGGACTCAGGCTGGGCTCACAACCGAATACGAGGCACATCTGCAGTGGCCGCCTCTCCGTGACCCTGTTCCAGCCTCTGGGCTCTACCTTATACAGCCCAAACCCAGGGCCTGGGGCCAAGGCTCCAATTCCCGGCCTCCCCTTCCCCCTTTAAGTTGTAAATTTTGGAATAATTTTAGACTTACAGAAGTTGCAGAAGCGTTTTCCCTAATGTTAATGTCTTCTATGACTATAGTACATATGTCGAAACTGAGAAGTGAACACTGGCATAATGCTATTAACTAAAGTAAAAACGTTATTCAGATTTTACCAGTGTTTTCCATTAAAATTTGTGTTCCAGTATCCAGACCAGAATACCACATTGCACTTATCCTTCCTTGTTTTTGACTGGTTATGAGCTGGAATCTCCTCTTATTCCCCTTCCCTCCCCACCCCTGACGAGCTACTTTTTAAAATTCAAGAAATATTTACTCATTCTTCTAATTTAGTGAGTATTTACTGGTAGTCTGTTACATACCAGGCACTCTTCTAGGTATCTGGGATTCAGTACAGAACTGGATAATCCTTCTCTCATATGGGCACTAAATATAGTCCACTGGAACCCACAGGTCTGGCTTCTGCCCTTTTGTATTTACGATTATTATTATTATTTTTTTTAATTTAAAAACGTGCCACTTAGAATAATTTTTAGTTGGTTGAAATCAGTGTTTAAACTTTCCTACCCCTTATGATTTAATCTATATGTTGTTAGAAACTTCCAAGTGATAGGATTACCTTTTGCATCTTCTATTACTGATCAAGATTTTTTGCCTCAAAGTTATTACTAGCCTGAGAAAAATAGAGTGCACAAAGAAATACTAAGTAAACAGGACTGAAGACCCTACTGTAGATGGAGTTTCTCTCATGTCTATAATTTTTAGATGCCTTGACACATGAATCCAGGAAAAAAAATCTGCATTCTTCTTTCTCAGTTACCATGTTTTAAGGACCTGCCAATTGCTCAGAGATGATAAGCAGCCTGAATGTATTTTTCTGTTTCTTTGCATATTTTGCATTGGTTCATGGTCAAGTGGTTCCAGAAGGAAGTTCTTCATCCAGAGTCATAGTACACGTGGATCTGGATTGCTTTTATGCACAAGTAGAAATGATTTCAAATCCGGAACTGAAGGGCAAACCTTTAGGTAATTTTGGACATTAATAATAATTTTCATTTTGTGTAAGAGTATTAGCTATTCCTTTATGTTGATTATATTCTGATTTATTAACCATATTTAAGATTTTGGAAGCAGTTCCCAAGGTACTTTATATACAGTAAACTTTGCTTCACTACCAGGTGTAAAACTTACAAGCCTTATTTAATAAATGGTGAATTTTATACAACTAGTATAGCCAGCTGAACACATGAACGGAAAGACCATAATAAACTTTTAATCTTGTTCTCAATGGTTGAAATTTTATAATCCTCTTATCTCAAAAAAGTCATTACATTCTAATGGACGTTTTCATCTATCCTTTCCACTTTTGAAATTAACTCTTGGATTGTGTAATATATGACAAAAAGGTTGGATTTTGAATAGACCCCTAAATACTTAAGGCATATTGAGTGTAAGTTTTCCATAAATAATATCTTTTTAAATAAAAGGCAAAGAGAAATTTTATGTTGAAGATTTACTTATTAATATGTTGGCTTATTTTAACATTTTTATTATATGTATATCTTAAATTGGAAAAGTCATTTAAATTTCCAAAAATTTCTTTTATGCATGTAGTAAGAATTTATCTTTTAGTATAAGCATAAAGAGCAACTCTGGTTCACCTGCTGCTAACCTCTTGTGCCTCATTTGGTTTTGATAAATCCCAGGTCAACCCAGCCTAGTTGATTTACTGAAGAAGAACAAAGGGATGACTAGTTTTTGGTATGCCAGTATCAGTCTAGGATCTTTAAATTTCCAATGGGTGTCAAGGAGTTAGGATTAGAGGATATAAGTTTTCTCCTAAAGGCATTTGTAATTAGTAGCAGTATAACAGAAGATGCTATGTAGATAATGCTCAATAAAAAAGTATTGTATAATTAAGACACAGGAATGAATGATTATCTGGAAGTGAGAAATGTGATGTTGGAAGTTTCTGGGAGAAAGCAGAAGTAGTCTTTCAGTTATGCTTAACAAATGTGTGACTGTTTAAGTTGGGCTGGTGACATATAATGGTAAGTCCATATAATTTAATTCTGTATTAAAAGACTGCTTTTTTAGTTGAGGAAGTTACCAATCTTATTTTCTATATAGTTCACTGATTAATCTTAAATTATGACTTTTGACCTAGAGATTCTATTTTGGGGCATAATCTGATATATCACAAATCTTTATGTGAAATAACATTACTTTGCCCTGTTTATAATATCAACATTTTAGAAACCTATGTCTTACATTGGTGGAATGGACATAACCCTTTTTTTTCTTCTATATGTTTGTATTTTACATTTAGATGACCATTACTTTTACAGTGATAAGTGGTCAACTTGTGTAAAGAGAAAATTAATTTCAGCGATCTTAAGCCACCACTAGTAAGCTAGAGTTTTTATAGTCTGTAGAGATCATAATTTAATCATTTTTGATAAGGAGGGGGCTCACTAATGATGGCTAATATTTTCTACAAATTGCTGTGAAGAACAGTTCAATAATTACAACATTTATCGGGGGGAGATCTTTAATAATAACTATAGGTTAGTACTTGTAACAGAACATTGCTTTATATTCATTGGAAAGTTTTTCTAGCAGAAACCGGTAATTAATTGTACTCAGTTATTTTCATCTGTTTTATTTTTCTGGTGAAACATGGCCTAGACTTTATATACAGAGAGAGTTAATTCAATATAAATTAACCTGGTTTGTATTGTCTGGAAAAAAATCCTAGAAGGATTTTATTTGTATCTTTTCACTGAAGACTCCAGAGAATATACTGATTTATGATAATTTTTGTTAAATTTCATAGAACCTTGATGAATGGAGGCTATGTTTTTTTTTGTTTTAAAGATTTTATTTATTTATTTGACAGAGATACAGTGAGAGAGGGAACACAAGCAGGGGGCGTGGGAGAGGGAGAAGCAGGCTTCCCGTAGAGCGGGGAACCCGATGCGGGCGGGGGCTCAATCATGACCTGAGCCAAAGGCAGATGCTTAACGACTGAGCCACCCAGGTGCCCCTGGAGGCTATGCTTTTCAAATGAATAGAGCTTTTTATTCTTAATCAAAATAGATTGCATTACAATTTACAATTATAATATGGAAGGAGTAAATTTTATTTTAAAATGTTTCTTTAATCTTGCTCACTTTTCTCATAAAATATTTCCTATTTTATAGGAGTTCAGCAGAAATATTTGGTGGTTACCTGTAACTATGAAGCTAGGAAACTTGGAGTTAAGAAACTTATGAATGTCAGAGATGCAAAAGAAAAATGTCCACAGCTGGTATTAGTTAATGGAGAAGATTTGACTCGTTACAGAGAGATGTCATATAAGGTTACAGGTACAGATCATGGACAATATACTTTCAGCATTAATTTGTATATAGGATGCTCATTCACTACATGAAACTTTTAATTAGTAAAATGCCATAAATCACTTTCTTTTTGCTAATAACTTTTATTTTGGATCTTGCCTGCTTTTAAAAATATTTTATATAAGAGGATGGCTTTATATGAGTAATGTTGACAAAAAAAACATATAGTTGGAAGAAATTTGAAGTCTCTTGTGACTGGTGTTTATATGTGAGAAAAATGTTAAATGTGAGAAAAAATGTAAAACAAAATTTGGAAACAAGAAAATGGAAAGATATACAAAAGATAAATGCAAGAAAGTAAAATTTTTTTTATTTTATTTTAAATTTAAATAACAAGTTTAAATGAATTATGAGGAAATATCTGTACTCTGATGCACTAGTAGTTGGGAGAGGCTTCTGTAATGTTTGATTAACAATTAAAAACTAGATTTGTTAAGAACTATCAGCAGAAATAATGGGTATATTAAATTTTTCTTGGATTGTGTGTATATATATACATATATGTACACACACACACAGACTAAATATTATAGTATAGATAAACTCTTCCCTATTAAGGTTTGGGTTTGAATCTTAGAGTTTTAGTAAATTACAGGAAAAATGAAAACACATTTGTACTGGTATATTGCAAATATATATAATTTAAAAATGTATAAGAATCAAAGAATCAACTGTTTATCTTTTCTGCTTTGTTTTTGCTTGTTCTTTTATAAAAAATTGTAGCAGTTTTCAGATGAAAGTGTTAAATATGATACCCAAAGCCCTTACAAGTTTACAAGAAAAAGATCTTAAGAAAAATGGATGAAAGATATGAATAGGCAGTTGACAAAAAGAACAAACCCAATGTCCACAATTATGTGGAAAAAGAATACTCAAATTCATTAGTAGCTAAGGAAATTTGAATTAGTGAGATATTATTTTATGTCCATCGTACTTGCAAAAAATAATGTGAGAGAAAGTAGAAACAAAATATTATACATTTACAAAAAGTGATATAGAAACATTTTTCGAAATTAGAGATACATACTATATTTTTTAACCCTGTGATACTACTGCTGGGAATTTATTCAATAGGAATAAAATAATGAGAACATATGTACAAAAATATTTCTTGTGGCATGGCTCATAATTGATAAAAATACGGAATAAAAACAAATGCTCATCAGGATGAGAATGGCTAAATAAGACTTCTCTATGATGGAATATTATATAGCCATTAAAAAGAACGCATTGGTGCTATACTGTTTGACTCAGAGAGATATGCCTTGTTGAGTAAAAGGCAAGATGCAAAAACATGTCATACTGTTCCATATGTGTAAAACAATGGCCCAAACCCCTCCCTTTACACATATATATATGCCTGTGTATAAATAGGAAGGGAAACATGAAAGGATGTATACTAGGTTTTTAACATTAATTAACTTCTGGAGAGAGCATGGTGAAATGGGAGAAGGGAGAAGAAGGGATAGCCAAGCAAAGATAAGACTCTACTCTGAAAATATCACTTGTGCATCCATGCAAAATTGTATGTTTCTGAATATGAAGAAGTTAATCTTTACACAGAAGAGGTTATACATACAGTTGTGCCTCTTGGTGAGCTCTCATATCCTTCATATTAGCTCTGCCTCATCTTTTTCATACCTGCATAGTACTACATTGTATTTTGTTCCATACTCATTTAGCCAGGCCTTTAGTGATATGAAGACAGAGTGTCCCACTTTATTCCTATTATCCCTACATAATTAGTAAAGCACTTCTTTTCATTCAAAAAATGTCTTATGTTGGATGATAAATTACATGGTTTCCTGATAGTGACGGATTAATTTGGCTGTTACTTTTTGCTCTTCCAAATATATGCTTCAGTAGACATTTTCATATAGAAATTTTGGCATACTTTTATGAAGATATCCATGACATAAATTCTTAGAGCTTAATTTCTACATCAAAGTGACTTTTCTTTTTGACTCAGTAATAATTGGAAGTTTGTGGGGTTTTTTGTTTTTTTAAGATTTTATTTATTTATTTGACAGAGATATAGCGAGAGCAGGAACACAAGCAGGGGGAGTGGGAGAGGAAGAAGCAGGCTTCCTGCTGAGCAGGGAGCCCGATGCGGGGCTCGATCCCAGGACCCTGGGATCATGACCTGACCCGAAGGCAGCCGCTTAACGACTGAGCCACCCAGGTGCCCCAGTAATTGGAAGTTCTGTTTTTATTTTTGAGAGAGAGAGAGAGCACATGCACACAGTAGTGGGGGGAATGGAGAGGCAGACTAGACTCCCTGTTGAATGTGGAGCCTGACGCTGGATCCCAGGACCCTGAGATCATGACCTGAGCCAGAGTCAGATGCTTAATCCACTGAGCCACCCAGATGCCCCGGAAGTTTTACATTTTATTTGTTTTGTCTTTTTAAGACTTGTGGAAAATACAGGTAGAATGTATTATTACTTGTCTCTGCTTTTCTAGGCTGATTGTAATTTACTCTTTGGAACCACTGTTTCAAAATCGTAATGAACTGTAAGCATTGATATATAATGTACCACAGGTATAGAAATTATAGGTATAGGAGATTGAGCTAAATATATTGCTATAAGCATCTGTCCAGGGAATGTCATTTTGGACTTATTTTGTTGGAAAATATTGCCTTTACTCAAAATGTGGTATAGGAAAAAAATCCAGTTAATGGGGGACTTTATTAAAGATATTGTGGAACTGTGAATATATGTAAAGCCTTTAACATATGTGACGTATTTTTCAGCATAAAATAGTTAAATCCACTTTAGTTATGACTTTAGTTAACATCTGTGCACCAATATTATTTCAATTTAGAGTTGTTGGAAGAATTTAGTCCAGTTGTTGAGAGACTTGGATTTGATGAAAATTTTGTGGATCTAACAGAAATGGTTGAGAAGAGACTACAGCAGCTTCAAAGTGATGAACTTTCAGCACTGACTGTGTCGGGTCATGTATATAATAATCAGTGTAAGTGTATTCTTACTCTATTTAGTAACTCAAAGTACCAACATTTTTTAATGTTCACTGAATTCAGTGAGTTCAACGAGTTGACTATCTTTCTGAAAATTTTATGGCTTTTGTTGGAGGTATAGCCATATTTCAGTGACTTGTCTCAAATGACTAAAATTAGGTATTGGTATTCCATATTAAGTAGGCAGAAAGTGAGATTTTGATGACATGTGTAGCTCAGTGCTCCATGCACTTTTCATTTCTCTGACACAGTTTGTGTGTTACCATTTTTAAAAGCCATACTTCCTTAGGTCATCCTTTAGTTATAAGAGTTGCCTTAATAATATACTTTTTAGAATAATTTTTGCTTCTCCTAAAGCTGTCTTTAAGCAAAATTTTGAGGTAAACTAAATTTGTCTTTTGTTGCATCTTTTGCTTGTTCCTTTCTGTTCCCCCAGGCATCAAACACTCATGTTGCTCTCTGAGTTCCTGAGTTACCCTCTGTGGAAGCTTGCCCAGGCCTTTTGCAAACTCATATTCAGTCAGTTTGATAATCTTTGCCAACTATTAGCAAGAAAACAGAATGGTCCATCTCCTTCACATATTAAAGTATAAATGACTGATGGAATTTCCAGAGATATTTGCTTTTGAAAATAAGCTTCAATAAGCCCCAGTGAATATCTGTTAGATTTTAAAACCTCTTGTAACTCTGCTGGTGACTTCCATATCATACCACATGGAAGACGTGCTAGTCTGCTTTTGTGTAAGATTTGCCCTGACCTTCTTGGCCTAGGTCTCAGCATATGTGTCCTCTTATCCCCCTTTTCTGAGAACTGGTGATCAATCTCCAGTCTAGTTCTCTGCCATCCTGATACTAAAGAAGAAAAGGGGTAGAGCTACAGTTCTCTTCTAGAAGAGGACACGAAGCTTTTCATGTGTCCTTTGGACCTGCTCTTTTGTCACTTATAGGGACTGAATAGAAGAAGGTTCTAAGTATGTTTCTTTATAATTTTTAAAGCAAATTCAGTATTTGTTAGAACATAATACAGAGATCTAGGTTTTATATCCTAAAAAGAAAATGTCTGATTCTTCATGAATCCTTCCTCACAAGATTCTGTTAAAAAATTTTTTCAAACCTACAAAAAAGTTGAGTAGTACAGTGAGAACACTTATGCCCTTCCTTGTAGATACACCCATTGTTATTTTCCTACATTTACTTTATCTTGCTCCCTCTTGATTGATTGGCTGGTTGATTGATGAGCCATTTAAAAGTAAATTGCAGACTCATGACACTTCATCTGTAAATACTCCTGAGGATAAGGACAGTCTCATATAATTCTAATAGCATTTTCAGCCCTAAGAAAATTTGTTTCTGTATAATTTCCCTACACTTTTCATAGAAGATCTCTTAAACTATGTACAGACTCAGAATTATTTTCAGTAGCACATATAGCTAGTGTGTGTAAAGTTTAGATTCAGATCTTTAAAGCTATAATGTTAGCTCTGTTATTAGCGTAATACTTCTACTTTTATGCTTGCTTACAGTTAAACACAAGTAAAAGTTTTACTAGTGTCAGGAATTTTTTTATGAGACATCAGTTTTCATAATCTGTTAATCATTAAGCACTCCCAGGATGCATTCACTATCACAGGCACTTGGAATTCACTTTTGGAAGTTATTTACTTTACAGGATTCCTATGAAGAATGAAAGAGATGAGTTAAATGGGTGACAGTATGGTGGTGTTTGTGTGTGTGTGTGTGGGGGGGGGTTGGATATAGGTTAAGCCCTGTGCCCTTTTTAAACTCATTTGTAAAAAAGAAAATTAAAATTTTTGTGGTGACTTAATGATATTGGCTGTTTTTATAGATATAAACCTGCATGACATCGTGCACATCAGACTACTTGTTGGATCTCAGATTGCAGCAGAAATGCGGGAAGCCATGTATAATCAACTGGGTCTCACTGGCTGTGCTGGAGTGGCTTCTAATAAATTACTGGCAAAATTAGTTTCTGGTGTTTTTAAACCAAATCAGCAAACAGTGTTATTACCTGAAAGTTCTCAAGTTCTCATTCAGAGCTTGAGCCATGTAAAGGAAATGCCTGGTAAGACGTTTATAGTTGAAAAATATACATTAGTTTTATTGTATTTTTTTTTTTTAAAGATTTTATTTATTTATTTGACAGAGAGAGACACAGTGAGAGCAGGATCACAAGCAGGGGGAGAGGGAGAGGGAGAA